AAGAACATTCTGCTTTTGATTAACCATCTGATTTCCAGAATTTATAAACGGTTGTTGGTGAGAACTGTTTGAGAGTATAGGTTTTGGGTGACGTGACTCAAGTCGTGAGATTGAACTTTAAAGAAGAGAAGGCGTGACCCTAATCTTTGTAGCAGTCGGCGTAAGATTGACTTACATTCTCAGACCTTTGAGAGTGAAGAGAATTATCCCCATACCGAGTATATCATGGACTTGGTGCTCAAAAGCTATGAGATCTTCAGTATCATGGCCGGGTGCCCCAGAGTGAAATTCACATCTAACAGTATCGTCAAAGCCATGAGGGAGCCTTTCATGTGTAGTGAAGATTCGGAGTTTGACCAAATGAAGTCCTAGCAAAGGAGGAAGCAATTGTGCATACAATATTGGAATAGGATCAAATTGTCGTTCAGGCTGTTTTGGCCTCTACTGACGGAATTTACCTTTTTGGGTCCTCTTGGGAAGTGACAACTGGCTGCGGATGGGGAGATCCTGGAATGCAAGGTTGTGGAGGAGATACTCCCTGACTTGAAAGAGTCCCCAGATTATGGGGAGGAATGGTAGCTCCTATTGTAGCTGGCATAGCAACATCCTCTTCATTCAACATTGTCCCCAAAATTCCCATAACCAAACTCAACCGAGCCTTCAACTGAGTGCTTTCTTCTTTCAAGAGTTCTTGTCCGCAGACCAAATCCTATATTTTTAACATCGAGAACCCCATATGTTCTTTCATCTCCTCCAATTCCCCACGAAGTTCTTCCATAACTTGAATCTGATCACGGAGCAGCGAGAAGTCAAGATTTGCAGTTCTGAAACGAGTCTGAATAAGGATTCCTCATTCTGAGTACCTTATGAGTACCTGTTATGGATGCATGAAGATGCATGAGGTGAGTGAGAGAATTCCCCTTCTGATATAATTTGGACACCACAGTCTCCAGATTAATCTCGTCTTGGACCTTGTCTCTGGATGAAGTACCATCTTCAATCGAATGATCAATTTCCCCAGAATAATACGCATAGAAGATTCTTTCAAGAGAACAAATGAATGCTTTTCCCAGCGAACCGATACAAACTGGTGAGAAAGAGCGTGGAAGTTGGCCAAATAGGAACTGGACCTTTGGAAGAGACGCCAAACTGGTGCTTGGCTTTATATTTCAACCCCTTTGTAGTCTTCAATATCAAAACCGGGTACCCCAGAATAAGGGATGTATCTAGCGTACATATTGTAATCAGAAGAGATGTTTGTGGGAGGAAGACTTCAAAGATCAGAGCTAGGAAGAACTGGGAATAATAGGATGTCATGCATTGGGCTCGTATCAACATACTCATCGGGATTCTTGTCTTGGCTTAAAAGCTTTGCCCCGGGAATTCACTTGGGGAATAAAGACTGGCTCTTGTTGAACAAATTAGGGAACACAAAGTTATGGAATGCCCCTGAATGAAAAGTAGGATGCCCCAGTGTGGCAACCATATCTGACGTTGGTCAATAAGAATGAAGCATTGATATAAGATCCTATGGTAAAATGGGAACCATCTGCTGATAAGATGTTCCAAGAACTCAGGATTGCGTAGCACTCCATGGTTGGAAGCAATCCCCAAAAGATGAAGATAAGAGAGAACCTTTACTGTGATAGTAGGTGCAAGATTGTTAACATCGTCATTAGAGCTTTCATGACCTGGTTCATCTGAGTTTTCAATCAATTATCTTCCTGCTTGAAGAGATTTCTAACCACGGGCCAAAGCTTGCATGTATATCACTCGGAGCTATTCCATAACCGATCCTTGAACAAGCGCAGTAAGAATCAAGCTGAACCTCTAAGGAGAACACATGGTCTGAGTAAGAATCCCCAATCTTCAAGTACCTGTTATGGATGAATATACATGGGGTGCATGAACGGATGCCATGTCATGTTCCGTCATTTCCAAGGAATTTACGCGCTTTGGTTTTGATTTTATATAAGTAAGGATGGAAAAGTTTGGCACAAAGCTTACAAATACGATTCCTTGGAAATAACAGAACATGTATGTTAAGCAGGTGGTTAACCATGTTATGTATGCAATGGCATGAGATCAAATAGGATCAAGGTTCCATCATTTCTGAATATGATTGTTGCACTGCTTCTGAATCATACAAGTATCATCAAGTCAAAGGTTTGTCACAGCTTCCGCACATATAAGGACCAAGTACCATGTAGATCTCCCATTGTACAGGGTCAAGGCTTCTGGAACATCGGATACTGTTGAGCATTTCTTGAATATGTTGGGAATGCCAAGATCGAAGGCCTGAATGAATCTCCAAGTATACAAATCAGGAACTCAGAAAATAAATCTGAGAACCATATACTCACCAACAGAATATAGTATGCATAAGTCACTGATAAAAATCCAGAACATAATCATTAGAACCAATAGTCATTGTCTGATCATAGCCTCCATCTGAGCATGGGTAACTATTTGAACATAGTCACCATTTGAGCACGAGTAACCATTTGAACATAGTCACCAACTGTACATGTGATAAAATTCCCTCCCTGCTCACGGGTAAAGACTAGGTCAGGGTAAGGCAAGGGTAACTCGAAAATCACGGGTCCGCCTGAAAGTGCTATGGGCTTACCCACAGACGTGGGTGCCGATAGTAATTCATTTGAACCTCATCCGAGCGTGGTATATGACATGACTACACTAATCGGACCACGTCCTATAGCCGTCATGCCCCCACTCTACTCCTAGGTGTCCTAGTGCACTCTGGCCTGGGTACTGGGCCTTTTACCTCAATAGTAACATTCCCGCCCAAACAAGAAGCAGATCCAGCATAACAGTAGTATATGGAAGACAGTAAAGTGTAATACATGCATATGCACAGGTATATTTAAAATGAACGAATAAACTGAAAACGTAAAAAAATAAACACCCAAAGAAAGAGAAAACAAGAGCTAGGAGCGACTCCGAGATAGACCAGCATTTTGGTCAACCATTCCCCAGTGAAGTCGCCAGCTGAAACAACCGGCTGAAAATCATCAAACAATGAAGTCACCACCGAACGTCTTTCATCACACGGGAAGGGAAAGGTAAACATCGAGAAAACCTGAGAAGGGAGAAGTCACGGTCTTGCGATCGAGAGATCAGGTAAGGGAGTCTGTTACGCGAGGGGAATGTATTAGCACCCCACACGCCCATAGTACTCTACGGTAGCCACTCTTATTATCTATCTTATGGGCGTGTTTAATCTATGCTTACTGTTTACTATAATACTAAAGGGAGAATGCATGCAAAGGGAAGGAGAAAAGAATGTAGGGGAAATAAAATTGTGCTCGTTTGGGCCCTACCCCAATGCCTACGTATCTCTTTTAAGGAATCAGAGCAGCCGTAGTTCGGCTTATGTTTTTTTTTGTTGGTTTGTATTTTTTACTGAACAATATTAATTTTTCCTTCTGTCGCAAGTCGACCTTTGGAGACTTACGCGTCAGCACAGAAGTGAATTAACATGCTCTCTTGAAAAGATTCGGAGAAAATGTGCCTGGGCACACAAGAAGGTTTGAATTTGTTTAGTTTGTAGAAAATGATATTAATTTCGCCTTCTGCCGCAACTCGAACTTTGGAGACTTACGCGTCAGAACAAAAGTGAATTAATACGCTCTTTCGAAAAGGTTTTGAAAGAAAGGCCCGAAGGCAAAAAGAGTTTGTATTGGTTGGTATTTTTGCTTGTAGATGACAACTAGTTGATCTCAAGAGAGAGATTTTAGCCATGTATCTACTTATTCGTGAAATAAGTCTTTGAGAATTGAACCATGCCGAGGCTCAGAATGAAAAAACGATAAGATCGAGAAGAGACCTGCTTATTATCTCCCATGTTCAACAAAGGCACGATTCTCGTCAGCAATTTTTAAGCATCTTTTGAAGTTTGTAAAAAAAAGTTGGTTTTAAATGCATATGCAAAAAGGGAAAGAAAAGTTAAAGGGAGACTAGCCTATTTCTGCACCTAATGTTATTATACAATAGTGGTCCTAAGATTTGGATGATGGGGGAATTTCTACCTAATGTTAGCATGTGGTGAAACCCTACTTCTAATGATTTTTAGAAAGAAATGAAGTGCGTGAATAGGGAATAAAACAAGGTTATGATAATACAGAACGGAGAAGGTCCGCTGCCTCTTCAAAAACCACACAAGCGATAAGAAAGCTCTACAAAAGCTGCTCTGCACGGGTGGTCAAATAATTAACCTCCAAGCATTTCCCATCACAAAATTTGCATTATTACTATCACGCAATCTTGAATAAAATGACAATAAAAATGATTGTTAAACATGGAATAATAGAAAGTTCTAATAAAATTCTAAAGAAAAGTCCTAAATAATTCTTAAAAAAATGCTACTATTTGGCATCATTTTATCATGTGGAAAATTAATCAAAATCATGAATAAATCACACAAACAATTGCTAAAATAAAAATCGAAATAAGTGAATTAACAAGAAAATAGAACATGAATGCAACAGGAGGTGCAAAGCCTGGATTAGGGTGCATGCTGCAAGCAGCTGAAATAGACATTAAGCCCAAACTAAATTCAGTCCAATGAGCTTTTTGTCCATGAACTTCAGCCTTCTCCAAAAAATGCTGTAATGGGCTTAGGAAATATTATACGGCCCAATGTCCATAATCAATAATCTCTTGTTTTTTTTATTCAGCTTAATTTTTTATTTTTTTATCATTTTTTTTAGAAATAAAAAAATATAACAAAAGAAGAAGAAAATTGAAAAAGAGGATCGTGATTAGGGTTATAGTGTTTCTTCTCTAGTCTCATACTTCCATCACCGCCGTGACAACAATCTCTCCGCCTAGACTTCTCCTTCGACATAGCTCCAGTCCCATCTCCGATCTTAATTTGTTCTCACCTCGATGATACTCTGTCAATTTCACTATTCTGATTTTAATTCAAGAAACGCGTCTCTATTTCGAACACCAACTCAGGTAGTATAGAATCAGAATAGATGTTTACCTACTGGAGAAAACGTCTAGTGCTTCTTCTATTCAGGTACGACTTTGTTCTTGATTTCTTCTTGATTCACACTTCTTCTACGTTCCTCTTTGTGATGCGTTCTGTGAGGATATTTTTCTTCCTTCTTCTGACTTTCTACGCGTATGATCTTCTTGATTCTGTGTATTTGTTGCGTTGGAGATGATGCGAATAATTTCGTTGGATTCATGAAGCCTAAATTGTTGCGATGATGATGTTGATTGAAGATTCAGAAACTGCAGTTCAATCGAAGCATTGTTGATATTGTGATGAGTTGTGATTCGAACCGTTGAAGGTGATGATGTTGTTGATTGAAGAGGGTTCAGAGAAAGATGAATTAAAGATGATTTTGCAGATAGATTAAGGTGAGTTCTTTCTAATTCTTCTGACTGTAAATAGTGAATATTTGTGATTCTTCCAAAATCATTGACGAAGCTACAGAGGAATTTTCTGTTGAAACCTTTTTTCTGTTTTTGTAAGAATTCTGAATCGTGAATAATGAGGGGGGGTGTTGAAGATCGAAGCAGGTTGATGAAGACTGGTGCAGATTGAGAGTGAGGGTATTGAAAGATGAAGGTGAGAATTATTTTAGAGAATCCCAGAGATATTCAGATGTGAGTATTTTGTGATGTTTTCTATTTTTTTGTGTATTGAATCCTGATTGTAAATCTGAAACTGGATCCTCCTACCTGCCTCACCTTGCATCTTCTGTTATATACTGAATGGGTTATGGACAGTTAGTTAGAATGGTTATAGGTTTGTTTATAAATCTGTTAGGATTTGGTTAAGTTAGTTATGATGTTTATTAGAGGTTATGGAATTCTGTTTTCTGTTGAGGAATTCTGTTAGTAGGTTGTTAGTAAGCTGTTAGAGACTGTTTTTTTTGGACTGGAAGTTAGCTTTTTCTGTTACTGGTTTTCGATGGTTAGGACTTTGTTAGAGAATTCAATTGGAATTAGTTAGGGAAGTTAGAAATTTTGTTACAGTAGGTTATAGGTTTGTTGGGAATTCTGTTAAAGTTTGTTATAGAAATTGGCTTAGGAAAATAGTTTGGAGGTTGGAGGAAGTTTGTTAAGTTCTATTTATTCTGTTGCAGATTGTTAAAACAGTTGGGATTTTATTAGTTAGTCAGTTAGGCTTTGATTTTTTTGGCCTTTCTATTATGCAGAATCAGTTAGAAACGAATTTAGTCGGTGTTTGTTGTGAATTGGTAGTTGAGCTGTTAATTGGTTAGATCTAAAATAGAATATATTTGATTTAGTTCCAAAATAGGTATTTCGGGCTTTGATAGTTTTTGGGCTTTTGGCTTATAGAGCAAGTTAACCGAAATCTATAAATAGAGGGAGTAACCCATATTTTTGTAATTAAGTTAATTCATTATATTCACAGAATTTTGTAGTTGTAAAGTGAATAATAAAGTTTTCCACAGTTTGTGGACAGAGAGAAACTCTGCAGAAAATTAATTGTCTTGTTTTTTTTCTTTTCTCTTAATTCATTATCATTGTATGGTGATATCAATCTTGTTTATCAAAATTGGTAGAAATTCATTATAGATATTTGATGGATTTCCAACAATAACACACCTTCTGAATCAATAAAAACCTTTCGCTTAAAAATGTTTAAGCCAATAGAAATCTTATTCTACAATAGTTGTCAAGAGAGTGCAAATATCTTAAAAAGATACCAACTACCTCTAATGAGAGGAAGAACCAAATCCGGTCTGGTGGTTTATGAGACCAAAGAAATGAAGAATATGCTAAAGAGAGCGAAAAAACTTCATCTTTTGCATATCTCCGACACCAACAATCCAAATATTGAAAGGGGCCACTTCCTGGATAATGAGGAATAAGTTATTTATGATATTCATGTCATACATAAAAAGAGATATACTTCACCTTAGATCCCAAACGAACATTCATTCCACCCATATCCTAACCTCAACAACATTCCTGCCAAGCTGATTAGAAATACCATGGAGCATAGGAAATATCTCTCTAAGAGGGACATAATTTGCCCAAATATCATCCTAAAAGTGCCAATGATTTCAAAAGTTTGATAAAAAACTGGTTTTTACTAAATACAGGCAAGCCAAATATTTGGAAATATCGGTATATGCAAGGGTGTGATTAGATATTTTAAAAAATTCGGTAAGTCAATTTTTTTTTAAGGTAGGGTGTGACCGTTTAAAAATAACACTACAAAAATTTAAGGGGTGTGGGGGGCAAATCCAATATATCAGACTTTTAGAAAAATCCGATAACACTTTTGATGTGCATCAGATATTTCAAGTGATTCGATAAAAGCAATTACCGAATTTTTTGTATGAAGTACTTGATTTTTACGGCTAAGAATTTTTTTTTGCAACATGTGATTAATGAAAAAAATGAGAAGGATATTTTTAGTTTATAAAAATATGTAAGAGGTGACAAATATGATTAAGTATAATTAAGTGGTAGCCTATCATTCCCAAAATTTAACCAGACACCCCAATTTTGTATAATACCCATATTACTCTTGTCAAAATTTGTCTAAAAGTCTGGAAGAAAAATATGGTAGAACAAATAAAATGTCTTATACAAATCAAAAATTCGGTATTGTACTTTAAAAATCTGATAAGAAGTTATACCATGTTTTAAAAAAAACCAGTTCGTTGAAAATCTAGTAGTTAAAAAGTACCAGTTATTTTAAAATCCTTCTATACTTATCGAATTTTTAGTGGATCTATAATAAATACATTTGTTGTACAACACCACTTTCTTGTAGCAATTTACTTTAACCAACACTATTGGTATGTTTCTACATTTCTCATAATTTTTTTTGTATCATTGCTTGTATTTTGTTCTAATATGTTCATTTACTTACTTCTTACATTCCTTATTTCATTCATTCATTCATAAGTTATTGTATGATTGTTCATTTATTGTATTTAATATCTTTTTAAATGTGCATTGTTGATTATGTGCATTTGAGTATTATTGTGTTTGTTCGTGCATTATTTAAATCTTTCATCCATTCATACAATTTTTAATCAAATAACTGTGTTTTGCTGTATAATTGCATGTCTAATTGAATTTTTGTTGTATTCAACATGTCTTTATTCGTATTATGTATTCAATATTTGTTGTTGTATATTCTTCTTAGTTATGTTTAGCTCATTTGTTTTTCTATAATATCGTTGTGTTGTTGGTTATGTTTGTGTTTAGGCTCATACACATATATCTCTTTTTTATCTTGTTAAAGAGGAGAAGTTGTAATGTGAGTCTAAATTTGTTTTATGTGTTATGTGTTGTTGCATTTTGTGCAATATTTCAGGTGGATCACACAAGCAATTGAAGGAAAGCATTGATCATAGTTTTTCCTTTGCTTAAAGTTGACTCAAATTCCAAGTATAAGCTTAGTAAGCATAAAAAAAGGAGGCTAAAGTTGCATGTCTCTTATACATTAAGGGGGATACCTATATGTGGTTTTGTTGGTTGTCCCTTAAGTTATATTTTGTATTTAGTCTTATACTTAAGTCTCATTTTCAATTGCGCATCTTTGAGTATCAAGTTTATAGGTCCATGTTTTAGCATGCATATTTCAAATTGTTTATGTTTGAGTATGAACATTATGTTTTAAGTCAATTAGTTGAGTTTGTGGAACAAGAACCATAATTGAGATTGATTCAAGTCATTTCAAAAGTAAAATCTCAAAACATCTTTAAAAACTTGAATTTTTGAGATTTTAGATGTGTGATTTAAGTCAGATAATCCCTTGAGTCGAATCAAACAAGGCATGGAAGAATCAGAATCTCATGTAAGCTTATGAGTCTAATCATGACTTACAGTTGATTTGAATCATGCATATTGTGATTCAAATCACAGGTTGTACATGAGTCGAATAATAGATCTTTCTTCAGCTTGTGCCTAGTTTGAGTTAAATCATGACCAGACCATGATTTGAATCATTGGCCTTGTGAGTTGAATCATGCCTTACTCTTTATTCGAATCATACAAAAATGGGTCTTTCTTTGAGTGCACAACTTATTCTTTATTAATTGGCCATTTGACTCAAATAATCAAATGCTCTTGACTCGAATCAAACATGATTTTTTTCAATATTATTGCACGTCATCTCTAGCACCTATAAATCATTTTTTGTCTCTTAAAACCTGACAATGTTAGAAAACACATTTATTCCATTGATGATTTGAGAACTCACAAACCATATGTTCTTTATTTTTCTCAAAAATAGTTTGAATTTTAGTGAACACTTGCAAACAATTTATTTCATATTCTATCTCATTCTTTTCATTGTTGCATGGGTCCTAATCTCATCTTGGAAGTTTCCTGATTGATTGAGGAGATTGATTTTGAATTTAACTTTTCTTTGGAGATTTTTTCAAGATTTCAGAGGCCTACAAGATTGTGTAGTGTTATGTCTAGTTGTGACATTTCCAGTGAAAAAGAAGAAGGTTATTTTCTCCAAGTTGACCTTGGTAGTACTGTATGGAATTCTACAAACATGGTAGGAGTTCTTTTCAATCTTCGAATAGTCCAATACTTAAGATACATCACTACTAAACTTTTAGACTTTCTTGCTGAAACTAACTATAAACCCTTTATTATACAATTGACTTATGCTGATTAAATTTGTTGTTAAGTCTTCTACAAGTAACACATTCTTGAGGCAAGGAATTCCTGGCCTAGCCATCTTACCGATACCCTTGATACTTCCTTTTCTTCCATATACAAATTTTACATATCCTTGTGATAGTGGTTTAACCTCTTTAAGAAAATACTCTACACATGTTATGTGATTGTAGCACCCTCTACCAAAAATCTATTCATTCATTGGAGACATTTAAGTATGAGCTATGTGGGTTTTGACTTCAACCTTAGTTTTCCACACTCTTTGAGCCTGCTTACCCCTACCTTTGGGTCTTGGTTGTCTGTAGGATTGATGATAACCATATAATCTAAATAAATAAGGCCTTATGTTCCCATATCTTCCACAATGATGACATCTTGTGTTAGATTTCCAATTCTTCCCATCATAGAAATATTCATGTATTGTAGGTTGTTGGGCCATGTGGTTGAACATCTTGAACTCATTTTGTTCTTATGAGGAACAAACTTTTTAGGTGGAGGTTTATCCTTCTTATTCATGGACATGGGATCAAACCCTATTCCTTTCATGTTTCTAGATATTTTCCCAACATCCAATATTTCATCTAACATGTGAGATCCATTGATCAACATATAAATAGGTTTTGTCATATTGTCTAAGTTTTTATTTTCTTGATTTAGAAGTAGAGAATTTATGGTCTTCTTCTGTTTCTCTTCTCTTAAGCAGGATTCCTCTCATTCAATGAACATTTCTCTGTAAGTTTCAACAATCTCTTCTGCTGACAATTCTTCCATACTAGACTCACTATATGTGTCATATTTCCCAGTGAAGACCCATTACTTCATTAACTATTTATTCTTCATCATCGGACCGGATGATAGACAAACCCTTTTTTTATTCTTTAGAAAGTGGGACATTCAGTTTTTATGGGACCAAACCCTTCACTATCATAACATTGTGTTCCTCTACCCTTATAATCTTTGGACTTGTTCAAGGACATGATGTTTGGCATTTTGTATGGGACATTTGTCCTCCACCTTCTGTCCAGATATGCAACTCTTTATTGAAATTTCTACCAATAAAGGTTATAACATATGACATGCTTTCCTCTTTATTATCATGACTTTCTTCCTCCCGAGTGTTGGATAAAAAGGGTATACCTTTGTTCTTTTTTTAAGCCCTGTCATTTATGGATATTTCAAAGTTTTGTAAGGAACCAATGAGTTCATCAACCTTGATGTTGCTCCTGATCCTCTTTAATAGCAGTCACTTTCATATCAAACCTCTTAGACAATGATCTAATAATTTTCCCATAAACCTTTTTGTGATACGGTGGGAGAACTGACTTGAGGTTTTGTGTTTCGTCGCAAATGTTTTGGTTTAGCAAGAGTCGTCACCGACTTTTATTTTATCCAAAAGGAAAGGTCAAAAAGCACAGGAAAGACCTTTGAGATGTTTTCTTGAGTTCGGAGGATAGATTATGAAAAGGGAAGGCGCCAGCACCCTTTTCATCCATGGTTTTCCATGGGCTCTTAGTTACTTGTTTAGACCACTTGCTTTGCTTTTCCAATTGTTTGAAATGGTGCTTTGTGTGGTTTTGAAAGTATTTGAAAAGAGGTCGTCGTTTTGTCAATCTTTGTAATGATTCTTGTTTGTAAGAATGTATACAAATATGTTTGTCTTTTGAAAAATGTTTCAATGTTTTGAAAGTTGTTTGGAAATTGTTTTGAAAATGTGTTGTGTGTTTTTGAAAATAGCAAGGAAGTGTTTTTGCAATTCGATCAAGTAACTAAAAGCTTAACTACCTGCTCAAAAGTCTTTCCTACACATTTTTATTCCTTTGACATTGTTGTTTTACTATTGTATTGGTAAACAACCCTATCTTTGGATGTTAAACGGGACGGGCGTGGGTCATCGTATGACCATGGTAGCAATATTGCCAAGTATCTTAGCAAGTTTTGAGGGACCAAGATCATCTTTGTTTAGGCAACCTTTTGATAGTGTCATCGAGGGACTATGATCTTTTGTTTTGCCAAGATACCTAGCATGCATACCATGGCCATTTAAATTTGGCAACCAAGTGGATGAAACCCTAGGGATGCTTGTGTGCAATGTGTTGTCATTTTTCATGCATTTTGTCTTGTATTTAGGTCATGCTATTTGTTTGATTTTGTCTTATCATACAAACCCTAATTTACTAAACATGTATATAATGCGATAAATTGCGTAAAGTAAATCTAA